CGGCCACGTTTCACCTCCGCAACTACCCACTGATCCGCAACCAAGACCCGCTTTTGGAGTGCCCCCGCCGGCACCGGCCAAGCGCCAGCGCTCGGGCGGACGGCTACTCCGGCCCACGGGTCGACCCCAACGACGCGGGGGGGTGGGGGGGCTACGCACGCGTCTGTGCATCAGCACCCCCGGCGCACGTGAACCGATCGGCTGGGAGGCCGAGCCGACCACCCACGCTTCGACAGAACGCCCCCCGTGGCGACCGCGTTGCTGTGCAGAAGCTCCTGCAATTCGGGACCGGCATCGACGCAACCGAAACTTCTGCAAAGCTTCGAAATGTGTGTAAATAAGATAAAATGCTGTCGGCTTATGACCGACTTAGCAGTGGCCCGCCGCACACACGTCGAATGAGGCCTCAAAAGCTAACGACATTTGGGCCAGCATACATATTGTGACGTGCTTTCAAAGTCAATGCATAACAGCTATTACCACAAAAGCAATACAAAAGTAAGTGCTGCACACGTACCTTGATGTTGCAAAATTAAGTGTCATGAACTTGAGCTTGCGTGTGTGTGCTCCGGCCGAAGTGCTCCGGCCTCTTCGGCAGAAGCTCCTCACGTTCAAAATTGTTTTGCATGCTGTGCAGACGCGCCTGCAATTCGGTACCGGCATCAACGCACCCGAAACTTCTGCAAAGCTGTCGTAATGTGTGTCAATAAGATCCAGTCGGTTTCGAGCAAGCAACGGTTTATGGCTTAGCTCTTGCAGTCGTCCCTCACTCGGCTCACGAGGCCTCAAGCTAACGACATTTGGGCCAGCATACATCCTGTTGTGTTCTTTCAAAGTAAAAGCATGCAGCTATTACCGAAAGTTAACAAAATAAAAGAAAACCTGCCCGTGAAAATTTTTTTCATTACTTTTGCAGAAAAATGCTCAAGAATTGTCGCGCGCGTATATACGCGCGTGCACGCGCATCCACGCGTGCGGTGAGTGCAACACGGTGTCCAATTTCATCAATCACCTTCAAACTGGATTGAAGCTTCAAAGGACTGCGGTCAGCGGTTTGCAGGCAAAATTATTTGTTGGGCTTTGGCGCCATCAGCTGGTGTAAAGGTGTCAACACTCAAACAAAAAAAAATTACTTCGCATACAATAGAATTCTGACTTTAAAATGAGAATTCTGACTTTATTCTCAGAATTCTGACTTTAATCTCAGAATTCTTTTGTGACGTTCGTGGAGCTATGAATTGTGGGGGCCGTCAGAGTGTGTTTTTTTTTTTTTTTTTAAATAATCTTTATTGACCAAGTCAGAATACAATTCTCAGTAAACAGAAAACAAACCGAACATGTGCCGTCAGCGTGTGGTGTGGCTTGGAAGAAAGAACATTATGTCGTCACCTAGCGACTTTTTGCCTGGCCGAGGAGTGTCTGAGGACATCCTTTCACTTTTGGAGGAGCAGAGGGTGAGTAACAACAGTGCGTCGTGTTTGTTTCATTTGGTGGCTGTCGTGTCCATAGTTAACGTGCTCCATGGAAGCTTGTAGCTTCGTTGCTAGTCCGGATGTCATGAATGGATGCACCCAGTTTACATTCGTGACTAAGTAGAAAGTAACCCAATTAAATGGGTACGTCACTGTGACGCCACATAACGTTGTTGAAAAACAACACCACTCTCGACATCGAACCCCTTTGTGTGGATGACAGTGGCCGGCTGGAGCATCGTTGCAGCCCAATTACCGTGAACTGAACTGTGTCATCATAACAAGTACTGTAGTGACGTGCCGCAATTCAAGGCTATATCATTTCAAGTATGTGCACACGCACGCATAAATGAAGTCAACAGTTGCTGAACTGCTGTTTGAATAGGGACTTTATTATCATAGTTGCATATTCTAATAGAAATAGGTTAGAGTAATTTTCAAGCATAAATGTACCTGAGTACATTCTTAACGGTTTTCAACATTGAAGAGTTGCAACATGTTTGCCTGTGTATTTGATTTACAATTGTAGAGATTAGGATTACATTTGTGCTTCATACTTTAAAATTAAGCGATTATGTGTTACGGTGATTGAGTGTATTTTTTTTTTGTTTGTCTTGTTCTCGTGCAGATTGACAGTGATGTCATAGCACTGATGGACGATGCCACCCTTGCCAATTATGTCCCTTGCTATGGAGACCGTATTGCACTCTTCAATTTTTGCAAGACTAAACAGCTCCCATCCAAAAGAAAAATGGACTTTTGGAAAAATTACGTGAAAAAATGAAACTCAGGAAAGAAAGCGGGAAAGAAGACACTGCCTCAAAGACACAACAAGCCAGACAAAGAGGCAGAAAACAACGACAAATTTTGCAACCGGATGGATACACAGTGATGGAAAAATAACCAAACAGGTGAGGGAGAAGCAGGGAGGGGGTACCAGAAAACTTCAAATGTCCACAGAATCTGGGTTGAAAGACATTCTCAAGGAAGGAAAGAAACTATTTTTCCCCGATGGGATTTCTCCAAAAGGATCTGAATTGGACTTTCAGTTTGAGGTGTGGGATTTCAAACAAAACCTCCTCCCTGATGAAACCTGCCAGTCCATCGGCAATATGTATGAGGCTGCAAAGCTAACGTTGTTGCGCTTTTACATTGCAACAAGGCCAAAAGACGACCACCATGATGGCAGCACAGCGTCCAAAGAAGTCTTGGTTTTGTCACACAACGCCAGTGACAACAACTCTGAAATTGAAGAGGTCTTTGTCGATTCAAATGAAATTTACACGGCATTCGACATTTCTGTTGATTCACAAATTACTTTTGGTCCCACGTACAACACAGAGGGAGATGGAGACATCACACTTTTCTATGATGGTCCACCTGATCCACAAGATGTGATGACAATAACTGCCCATTACACTGACACATTGAATGATGTAATCATAGCATTCTCTGAAAATGCAATCTTGAACAAATCACTCAATGTGAAACGCATACTCCCAGATAATACAGAAGAAGCAGGTGTTGGATCTGGAGTACTGAGAGATGTTCTCAGCTGCTTCTGGCAGGAATTCTATGACCGATGCACCCTTGGTACATCAATTAAAGTGCCATTTATTCGCCATGATTTTCCTGCAGAAATGTGGAAAGCAGTTGGGAGAATTCTTTAAAAGGGATACCAAAATTGTTGCTGCTTCCCGTTTCCTGCAGAAAAGTGGAAAGCAGTTGGGAGAATTATTTTGAAGGGATACCAAGATTGTTGCAACTTCCCAAACAAACTTGCGCTTCCTTTCCTCGAGCAGGTGCTTTTCAACTGTGTCTATAGTGATCTAAAAGCCCGTTTTCTGCAGTTTGTGAGTAGCCAAGAGCGTGAAGTTTTGATGAAAGCCATGAAGGACTTTTCAGAAGTGGACCGAGATAATCTTGTGGAAGTTCTTGACAGCTACGGGTGTAGAAAAAGAATCTCTGCTGAAACCTTTCCCACAATACTGCAGGAAATAGCACACAAAGAGCTTATCCAAAAGCCCATGTTTGTGATTGACTGCTGGAGGGAGGTTACTCTTCACCGTGTCTCCATCAGTCTTGAAGCACTGAACAAGTTGTGCTCGGACTTGCAACCTACCTCAAAAAAGGTCTGCCAACTGCTGAAATTTGCAACTGATTTAACCCCAAAGCAGAAGGAAGTGGTAAATCATCTGAAAAGGTTCATCAGAGAGTTGAATGAATTCAAATTTCAGAGGTTTCTCCGGTTTTGCACTGGATCTGATCTTGTTGTAACCAATGCCATTCTTGTGGAGTTCCAGGAAATGACAGAGTTCAGTAGGCCGGTGGGGGACACATGTGGAATGGTTCTGCATATTGCTGACAGCTATGAAAATTTCCCAGATTTCCGATCAGAATTCAATGCTGTTCTTGAAAGCAATGTCTGGGTGATGGACATTGTTTAGCTTTTTCATACACGTAATAAGGCATCGTAGGTTGCATCATCACTACATGGCTTGGGTACATTACATTGTTCACTGTTTACAATAAGTTTGTAGAAACAAACGTTGCATTGTTTGCTGTTTTTATAGTTACTGTATATAGAAATAGTTTGCATTTGGTATTTGTAGAAACAAACGTTGCATTGTTTGCTGTTTTTAGTTACTGTATATAGAAATAGCTTGCATTTGGTATATTACAGTAATATACAGTTCTGTAAAGTTCTGGGGTTTTATATACAAAAAAGCCTAAGAAGTTATCCATAACCATTGGATGGTTGTTTCAACAGCTATGCTGTATTATTTAGGTCAATGCTTCTATTATTAAAAGTAAGATTTTATTGCGTTCAATAAACTTACTCTTCATCCTCTGTTTTTCTGTCTACACATGAATGTTGACAGTTAATATCCTTGTGTGCAACGGTGAATGGTTTAAGAACATTTTACAGATATTTTCTAATGGCTGTGAAGCACGTCGGCCTCACAGTGCCGAGGTGCCGGGGTCGAATCCGGTTCCGGCCTTCCTGTGTGGAGTCTCCGGCTACTCCGCATCCTCTGAATCCGGTTCCGGCCTTCCTGTGTGGAGTCTCCGGCTACTCCGCATCCTCCCACATTCTAAAAAAATGCGTGGCAGGTTAATGGAACACTCCAAATTTTCTGTGATTGTGAGGGCAGATGGTTGTTCGTCTGTGTGCACTGCGATTGGCTGGCAACCGGTTCAGGGTGTCCCCCGCCTACTGCCCAACGACTGCTGGGATAGGCTGCACAGCATACCTCGTGACCCTTGTGAGGATAAAGCGGATCAGAAAAAGTATGGACATGTTTTCTATCAATATTAACAATAAGACATCCATCCACTTTTGATCCACTTATCCTCACAAAAGTCACGGGGCATGCTGGAGCCATGGCACTGTTGTTTAAAATAAAGGGGTTTCAGAAAGGGCAAGTCTGTGCACTTCCAGCCCACTGCTGAAAAGAGTGCAATCTAGAGGAGTCAAAAAACAACAACTGGTTTATGGAGCAAATTTGAAGCTTCATTTTCTCATCACTACCAGTTCTAAAAATTGCATCAGTCCACATGTCAAATAGACTTCAGTAATTCCTCTCTCAATTTAACATACAAGTCACTTGCATCCAAAGGATCTGATGGCGCGTGCCATTCATTTTCCTCCATAAGCAAGCAACACAGTTCAAATACAGTTTCATCACAAGGAAAATTGCCTTTTTTTTAATGCACTCTTCCATACATGCAGTGACCTCTTCCGTTCCAACAGGTTTTAATTGATCCTCTGCACTGTGCATCTCAGGGAATGAACACATGACGACTGATCGACCTGAAGCTGTATCACGGTGCAATCTTGGTCTTATTTTGTGTGCGTTCCACGTGTTCACAACTTCATCCAGCTCATCCTGAACAAAAAGCAGCATAGTTAAGTATTATATTTTCATCATTCGTCCAAAAAGAATTCATGTCGAGAAAAATTATTCTCTCACCATTCGTCCAAAAAGAATTTATGTCCAGAAAAAAATTTCTACCTGCACAAGAATAAGAAAGCAGAACGGATAAGAC